CGGGGCTTCCCGTTGCACTGGCTCTTTCTGCTCATGTGTGGGGGAAAAAATACCTGTTAATTGCCATTTCTAGAGAAAGAATGGGATCCTACTGTCTCAGGAATATCACACCAGAGAGCTGCTGGGCCAGCACCCAAGCTCAGCCCCTGTACCCCCGCGGGGTTGTAACTAAGTGGTCTTGCTTTATTTCAAACTGAATTTTTCCAGTTTTAGCTACTGCTCCCCTTCAACCCCATCCCCTTTTCCAAGTTGCCATATGGAAGTAAGCCAAATGTCTTACAGAAATCAGAGAGTGGATCATACCACTGTGTTTCAGTCAAACTTGCAGCTCCATAGCAGAAAGCCTGACTGGGTCCCATAAAACAGTGATGGTCTGCATGAATTACATTTCTGTCTTTTCTTCACAGTATTCATTGCTTCCCACATTCACTTTTCCTTATTTTGCCTGGAATGAATCTCGGACCAACACTAATATTTAGGCACCTGAAAGTAATGGTTGTTCTCTAATTGATTCATACTTCTCAGTGTCTTAAAATGTACTGGGAGTCTTTAGTATTTTGGGGGGGGGTGAACTGTTATCTGAAAATGTTTATCCCCAATAGTGAGTGTTTAATATCCTCTTTCCTTACTGGAGAAAAGTTATGTTCTTATTCCTGCAATATGGAAACACAGCAGCTGGTTCCCCTCTTACTATAACGCAGCCACTATGTCATTTAGTATCATACAGATGAATGAATATTGGCAAACTTACCACCATTCATAACACTTCATATTTGGTTTGTCTCAATTAATGCAAAATATTTCTTCTCATTAAGCATAAATCATTCATCCAGTAGTTCTTAACTGACACTTACCTTCCTTTACCAGCTGCTTTTACTGCTACTGACTTGTGTTTTTTTCCCCAGAAGTTTCCCTTTTTTATTATTTATACTTTCTAGTCCCTCTAGCCAGAAGTTTTTTTAAAAAAAAAAACATACTTTTTGTTCCTCTAGAAAGAATGTTTGGTTCTGAAGGGCGTACAGCAAAGCAATTGAAATGGTTTCCATCTATTTCTGTTTACATTTATTTTCTTCCCAATCAGTAAATTCTTCATGGTTCTTTGTATAGAAATAACAACCCTTCCAAAGCCTTTGCATATTACTGTATGTCTGTGTGTATACACACAACATATCTAACTTGGGTTAACATTTTATTTGCACATAAATTTAGTGGCTTCAGGCTCACGAGACTTGAAATTCATATACGCAGCTGGAGGTTCTCTTACCTAATTTCTTTTTAAAGGTCTTCTGCATCTCCAGCAGATTTGCAAGTGGCTGGAAAATCTCCATTCTACCTCCTCCTACAGATTTAACAGATCTTGTCTCCCTAGTTTTTGGGCTCAAGCACTGAAAAACTAGACATTAGAGTACCCGTGTTCTCAAACACCATAGAGCACACACAAGGATCAATGAACAGCAGTCCATGTTTAGAAATGCAGCATTTCCAAGCAAATCTAAAACACCCAGGTTCAGTTCTGATTCAGTATCTCTCAGCTTATTATTTCTGCTTGCAAGAATCTGCTTACTAGAGTGCTGTGGATTTATACATTGATGACAAAGAAACTTTTATTTTCAGAGTTATTAGAAGAAAACTGCAGGCAGCAAAGCTGGGAGCTGGTGAAGCTTTGACCCTATAGAGCATAAGAGCAATACATTGAACAGCTGGTATTCTCCACGACCTGTAACAAGTCATTTTACCTACTGTGTAGAGAAGGCTTTAATACTTGGGAGAAGGCAGAATCTCCATTTGTATAGCTCATTAGTAACCAATTTCCATAGTTCATTAGCAAGCAAAAGGAATGTAAACTGACACCTTGAAAAATCATCCTGTGCTTAGTAATAAACTTCTCTTCCTTTCCATGTTAAGGCAAATATGCACAGTACGCACACTTTGGATTTGCATTTCATGAATTTAACACCAGTGTGGCAGAACAAAAATAGAACAGTGGTATTCATCCATGGAAGATAATATATTAAGTTCTAGCCTTCACTACAAAACCAATCACTGTTCTATCAGATTTTGGACATTTTAAGCACTTGGGAACTTACAAAATTGAGATTCTTTCCTCTGGAAACTACAGAGCCTAGCAAAACATATAACCTACTTAGTACATCATATTTCCTATAAAAACTTTCATCAGGGCTCTCTGAGCAATTGCCAGGACAAGTAGATTAAACCTTTGAGCATTCCTGTGAAGGACACAGGTGCAGGAAACAGACTTTGAGGTAACAGTAGTGCCAGCCATGACTGTTACATCATCTCACATGGTCCACACATCCATAAGAAATGAAAAACAAAACAAACTGAAAAACTGTTTATAAAAATCCTCCGTGTTTATTTCTTACAAACTTCCCTTCTCTATTTTAGGGTGAATGGGTTCACCAGAGAACACCAAGAACGTCCCCCCTACTCTCCATACAACACAGACACTTAGTGCAGCACATCTAAAGCAAACCATCTGCCAGTGTCTGAAGTAGTGAAAACAGGTACAACTCCACTGACTTCAGCAGAAACGTGCTTGTTCTGGCTGATGTAAATTTGATCAAGGCTCTGTATTCAAACAGCTGCTTATCTCAGCCTATCACCACGTTCATCCAGCAGTTGCAAAGTCAGTTGCTCTCCGCTGCAAAGGAACATATATAGACACATTTCTCCCTTTGTTTTACTGCAAAGCACCCAAGCCAATAAATCATCACTGGTAGCAACACACCAAGCCATCATGTCACTTTGAGGAAGTGATTCATGGCATATTGTGGTTTTAAAACTGCTCATCTGTACCAGCTGAACCAGACAGTTTTTCTTCTACCATTTCCTAGCAGTATTAATTATTATTTTAACATTTTAATAATAAATACTCATCTCCCCTTCACTTAGAAAAAATATTTCTGCTCTCAATGTTCCTCTGAATCCTTAATCTTGTCTTCAAGAACATTATCTCTTCCATTAAAATGATGTGTGTGTGTATATACACACAAATAGTCATTCAATCGTTCATTACAGTTTTAAGCTTACTATTCCAGAGGTACTCCAGAAGGGCCCTTTCCACAACTGAACTTTTCAGGTAAAGCCATTTCTTGTCGGTGTGACAGAACATGATCCCATTGATGAAGCGGCCAAAAAGCCAGTTACTTCTGTAACACTGGTTAACACTGGAAGTCTCGCTGAGATCAATTTTAATCTGCCATTTATTACTACTTCAAGAACTCTACATGCCTTCAAGAGAATCTACAGTAAACCCCTTGCCCTTTTTATCTCCTTCATACCTGAGATCACAAAACTAATATAAGTCACAAGCTTTAAGAAGATATTGCTTTCCTGTTGACTCAGATTGCTCCCAAGCAGCTTTGCACACAAAGGTATCATTGCATTACATCACACAGACCTTTTAAACTTTCAGTTTGAGGCAGCAATAATGCATACAAAACAGCTGTAGGACAGGTTTCATTTCAGCAAGACATTTTGGTGATTCTCTTCAGAGGAAAAACCTTTGTCTTCCTCTTAATGGATTGCTACCATAAATGTTTCATGAGCATAATGTTTTATGTGGGTGCTAAGTAAGGAAAAGTCAAAAAATACTTGCTACTTCCAGTAAAACAACTGAACCCTGTGCCATTGAACAAAAGTATTCTGATAAATGCCTGCATATACACAGATACACCATAAAAATCCCACTTTCATTGATCAACAAAAACGTTACAGGGTTACACCTGACAATTCCATCTTATTAATTCAGTATCAAACACCCCATAATGGAGCTGCAGCTGTGCTAACCTATGGAATTGCAGGAGACAGGACAGAAGACAACCCACCTCAGAACAAACCAGAGACTTGGATCCAATCAAATCTGGGTGCAACGATGCATCAATTTTTTTGCTTTTGCAGTGTGTGAAAGGGCATTTGAGGTGTACATGCAGCAAATTATTAGAGCAACAAATAAATATTTTGCAAAATAGAAGGGAAACACCAAGCAGTACAATCTCCTACCTGGCTTCAGAAAGAATTTACTTAAGAGTTTTTTGGAGAAAAAATTATAAAATAACAGGAATTTACTACTTTAGTGGGAAACTTCTCACTTTCACTATTTTGGCTCCAATTCAACATCACATTTAAAGAACTCAAGAGTTAAGTTCACGTTTAGTATGTTCCTGAGTTAAAGCCACGAAGTAAAAATGGGCTGCTGAGCCAATATAGAAGGAACACAGCATTAAACCAAAGGTACTGATGGCTGCAACCTCACACACCCAGCTGGGAACACACAGAGCATGAAACTTAATATTATGAGGTATGAGTCTCTCCTACATCAGCTAAGAGCTCCTGCTCCAAAATCAACAACAGAATGGTTCTATCCACATTTATTTGTCTGTGCCTTGAGCACAAAGTCAAAATGTCACACAGGTTGCCTGTAGGTGGCTTTACCTGCGAGTTCTCAGGGCTTCCATCAATACCTGCAACTCTGCTGCTCCTGAAAAGACTCCCACAAACCCCCTGTGTCAGCTACACTTCACAACTGCTGCCAGCTGACCTTTCACAATACTCACTGCACCAGGGGGGAAACTGCAAAATAGCTTTTTAGGGGTCCACCTCTCTCCAAGATTAAATTTGTTAAAAGTACAAGTCTTCCAACCTCACCCATTCTGTGATATCACGGTACAGACAGTTTAGACCCCTGCTTCACAAATGTGAATTAGTACATAATGACAAGAAATCAGCTTGTTCAGCAGTCAATCCTAAATCATAAAAGCAAAACAAAAATTAAAATCTCTCACAGAAAATATACTCCCTTGAAACCAAGGCAAGAGGTTAAAAAGGTACAATAGTGTTTTTTAAGTAGCCATGGGCAAATTTATTTTTACCTTAACATTTGAAAATTCAGAGGGGAAATGTTTAGCAATTTCATAGTCAAAATAAAATTCCTTGATTCTTTCAGCACTTATTCTTTAAGCACTATTAAAAGGACAGACCCAGCACAGGTTTCCTGGATTCAAAGGTGACTATTGGGGAGTGACAGGCACATCTTCGTATTTCCAGCTTTTTCTATCTGCAAAATGGACCGAAACAATGGACCAGAAGAGGAAGCTGCCATCCTCCACAAAGGAAGGAGACAAGGAAAAGTGCTGTCCCTTAATGCTATTTATACTGCTGCAGCACTCCCAGCTTGTAGAGGTCTGCAGCTGCTGAACCCTGTGCAGAAAGGGGAGCAGCCTCAGCCCCAAACTGTTCACCCAAATGGGATGTCAGATCAACCCCAGCCCACGCTGATCTTGCTCGGTTCTAAGACAAATCAGCAGTTTCCCAATACTGATATTTAAACACATGAAACCCCACCCACAGCCCCCTGAGCAGCCTGGTTCTCTCCGCCTTTAGCTTAACAGGAGAGCAAAGCCAATTAAAATAAACAGATTTATGATGCTCACAGGCTTTCTGCATCGGCACCACTCATGGAACACTTACAAAAAAAAAATAAAAATTAAAAGAAACAAACGCAGTAAGGCCTGTAGCCAAAATAGCTGGAGTTGCATTGAAGGAAATACTTGAGGGATCCTGCTCACAATGGGCGGTTTCCTGCGGCACCAGCCGGCCCCGCTGCCGCTCTCCCCCAGGAAGGCCCCACAAGAGCATTAAGCCAAGCTCTTGTTCAGAAAGCTCAGGCTTTAATCAGTGGCAAGAGGAAAACAGAGGCAATATTAACTACAGGTAAATCAGTGCTGGCTTTCCCCACACCTTCCTCTTTTAGTCTTCTACAGCTTGAGAGCAGATTCACAGAATCGCTCACAGTGATCCCTGAGAATCACTCTGAGTTGGAAGGGACCCACATGGATCATCGGTTTCCATGACCTGGGCATGTGTGCATGGGCCTTTGCATCTGAACCACTGGCTGTAATGATTTTAAATGCAAAAATGTATAATAAGGAATATATTTATAAAACCAGAAGCACTTTTTCCTATACTCCATAATTACTTCTATTCATACTCTTAAATTACACAACATTTAACAAGGACTATACTCTGGTTAAAATGGAAGGCAGTTTACAAGTGTGACGTTCACTGGTCCAAAAAAAGAAGGCAAAAATAGAAACAAGAGGAAAACAAAGCCAAAAATCCATCCACGCCATTAAATTATCACTTTCCTGTCACCACCAGTTTATTCTGACCATATGAACACTGGTATGCCATTCTTCTCTTGCTTTCACAGGACGGAAGACAGAGCTCCACCGAAATCAGAGCAACACAGAACTTATCGTAAGGCACATAAAACTGCACCCAGGACATAAAGAAAATTCTGCTGTCCACTGGCAGCCCAAATTACAGATTCAGACTCAAGGCTGCAGGGGACTGTCCCACAGGAAGACAAGTATCTAACACAGCACCTCAATGTAAGGCACCACGGTTTGATCATAGTCAGGCTGGAAACTCTTCAGGGCCAAATCTTTCTTTATTCAGACACCATGCCAAGTATCTTGTACATTTGTTATGCTACATAAAGTATTGACTAGGTTGATACTACAAATCCATACATTTTTAAGAATTCGAGTCAATGTTCATTTTGCTTTTATTATTTCTTAAATCTCAAAGAAGCACTACCCTGACCACTTTTTCCCCCTCTTAGGAAAATAAATCACAGCATCCTTTCCTTCCCCTATTGAAGTCTGTGGAAACAGGTTCCAGCTCAGACTTTGCATACTTATTATTTGTCATTAGCTAGTAACTCCCACTCAGACTGAACCTGTGCTACTTTCCTAGTCACCTGTATAAATATTTTTTGTCAAACCACAAAATTGCAGAAAAAAAAATGAATGAATGACCATTACAAATCCATTTGGGCTACATCATTATCATTTCAGACTACAACCAAATCCCATTTTCCCTTTGCAAATTCAATTTCCATCAATAGCCCCATACATCAGTAGCTGCTCATGTTTGTGGCCTCATTTTTTACATTAAAAAACCTGAAAGATTACTGCCAGTGTATAATAGGCAAACTGCATTTTCAATTCCCAACACATGTGCTTCAGGGGGGAAAAAAAGGAAACACAAGGTAAGAGGAAAAAATGCAAATGCATGCACTGCTATCAGCTGTATATTACCCTAGTGACATTACCATACTTCATATCTCTGGTTGCATACTTCAGAGGGGAAAAAAAAAATCCACTACACTGCCATTCAAGTAAATTCTTCTATCATTTTACTGAATATTAGTTTACTCTTTAGGTTTCTATTTTATTTACCCAGGGGCAACAGAACCGAGCATTGATTTGTCTTTCTGCATATATAGTTTTTATCTACTTTGGCAAAATTTTTTCCCATGACCAACGCAGATAACAAGTTAGATTTCAGGTGAAACGCTTCTTTCCAAGTGACAAGACAAAAATACAAAATTAAAAAGCATCCCCCAGATACTGAAAAGGTTACACAAATCCTCGGAACGCCAAACCTTCTTTTCCACCCATTCTGAGGAGCATCAAGGAGCAATGAGAACTGCAGGAGTCAAAACTCTAGATTTCCCACTGAAAAAAATTGTAGTGCCTCATTACTACAGCTACCAGTCCCAGCACACTGAGTAAACAACTTGCACTGAATTCCAGCATCTGTGCTGCATGGATAATTCAGTCACATTAGCTGGTCACTTCTGGTAAACACTCATTTCATTTGTGATGTGCTGCAATGCAACAGAACAGCTCTTGAGGGAATTAGAGCAGGCAGGTAGTTCCTGCCAATCATTTCAAGGGTCCATTCTCACACCAACACACAGAAGATTCAGACACAACGCCAATTAGTGCTAATTGTAGTTTTCTCCAAGTCCCTCTGCAACCAAGGATGACAGAGACTTCATATGTGGTTCTTAACATAAGTGGCAACAGTAATTTTGTTCACTTCAAAAGCCTTTCTGGATGCACAGCTCTAAGCTTGATACATAAGGTTTACCAAGTTTTTAAATGGCAAAAGTACCCTCCATTCTAAGAATTTTACACAGAGATTTTTCTTTAGCTCAGTGTCACAGCTATCTGAACAGGAAACGGTTGTTCTGTAGGTTTTCATGCTGCATTTCCCTCAACACAAGGATCTTCAGAGACCTTGACAAAGTTTTAACAAGAAAAAATGTGAAAAGCTGCCCACAGCTTCCTGAAGGGCCATCTGAGTTAACCACAGACTGAGCACAACAGACCAACAAAATCTTAGGGAGTTAATTTCAGGTCAATACTGTCATATTCATCAATGGAGAACTTTGAAGGCAAAGGTCATTTGGTACAAACACCACCTCAATTTCTCCAGTGAAGTATCTCCATTATCTGTGAAACCCATTGTGAAGGACAAATATGGTTTAAAAAGGACATTTTGGGAATAGAGTTTTTACACTGCAGTTTCACACCAATCCTATAAACACCAAAATTAGTCCAACAAAGATGCCCAGAAGTACATCCATCCATACAGACCCTTTCAAGCAATGGATACAACTTAGACTAAAACTGTTGTTTGGTGCCAGCATTTCATGCCTTAATCACTGCACGTTTAAATACACACATCTACAAAACAAATGTCATGTCCACAGACCACAAGCTCAAAGAAAAAAACAAAACAGAAAAATGTTAACAATTAATTAAACCAGTTCTCATTACCTCAATTTCCATCTGCAATTATAATCATTTCCCATTTAAAATATCTACAACATTTTATTCTTAATTAAAAATTACATCCTTGCAATGAAGTGCAATATGAATTAACAATTCAAATGTTATCTATGCAAATTCCTTAGTCCTTTGATTTTTTCCCCCATTTATGCAAAGTCATGTGTAGGTTTATTTTTATTAAGCTTGTATAACTTCACTCAATGTCTTCTGCTCTGAACTCTACACATATTTCAATCCAAGGACGCAGAAATAAGTTGTAAATTATACAATTTCTTTTCAAGTCTCATACCATTCATTGAAGAATCAATACATATGTGAAGAGGTATCTTCCCTAAATAATTGCAAAAAAACTGTGTAATTTCAAGAGATGTTAAATTTTCCACTGGTTTTGACAACAGCCATTTCTTCAGACCCTGCTGTGTAAAGCCAATGGAGAAATTACTGTAACATAACAAAAACCCATCTTTAAATCAGCTTTGTCTACACCCAGAGTTCAGTGACTTGACTCCTCAACATGACTCTCTGCCCTCGACCCTCCCAGAGGCAGCTCTTATCCAATTTGTTTTTATCTCCCTCTGCAGTATTTTGAGCTTTTATCCCAGATATAAAATTTCTTCCTGCTTCATCAGCCAAGAGCAAACTCATCTCAGATTCTCCAGGTGAACAAACCCAACAAACAATGTTAGCATCTTATAATATGAATCGTTTGCCTACAATTTTTGTTGATTTCAAAGTAATTCAGCAACAAAGTAGCACTAAAATGGGAACTTTTTTCAAAGTCTGTCTAAACGTTTCACCACCCGCTTTGTATTGAGAAAACCCAAGAGCTGAAAGCTCATTTAACAAGAGTGCCATTATAATAATACATCCACAATTACACACACATCCTACCAACACCGCTCACTGCCTTGCCCAAAGCTACTCTTCCATCCATTCCAGCAGGAAACACACCAAGTACAGGACCAGCTGAAACTGTGCCACACACACACATGGTGACGGGGGATTTCTCAGCCAGGATCAGCCAGCTCCAAGAGGATACCTGTGAGTCTGTGTTCTGGCTTCCCTGCCAATAGAGGGCATTCTGCAGCTGGGAGAAATTAAGGCATCACACTGTAAGTTTTCTTCAGCTGTGTGGTGCAGGTTATTCAGAATGGCAATCAGCTGTGTGTGCTCAGTAAGGAAGCAAGCAAAGGTGGCCAGCTGCTTCACAGATAAGATCCAGACAGATTATCATTACAGCCCAGAAGATGAATTTTTCAAGGTCCAGAGGGCAGTGCAATGGCTTTAAACTGAGTATATACTTATGAGGCAATTAGATGCGTCAATATGAGGCACAAGAAAAATGCGGCAGATTGGAGCAAGATCTGCAGTTTACCAAATTACAAGGACAGATCCTGAAGTCAAATTATACAAACGCAATTACACAAATTACACTGTAACCTTCAAAGGAAGAGGCCTTCACTGTATTCCAAAAGCCTCATTTTGTTATATTAATAAATTCCGGCAAGACAAAGTTTGAAGTCATGCATTTATTTCAGTGGCTAGCTTAAAAACCCCTTTACTCAATGATCTTTTTCTGTCATAATCTCCTTATCTAATTTAAACAGAGTGCATTCTCCTGCTATGAATGTAATTTTCATTTAAGTTGCTATAACTTGTGCACAAAGGAATATGTCAATTCAGCTCACCAGCTGATATGTTCTCCCGTGCTATATGAGAGCATATTATTTAATATACCCCAAAATGAGAGTTGCTTCTTTCTACTTTCTTGTAAAAAGGCCAGATAGCATCAAGCCCCAATACAGCACACCTGGGAGAAGTCATGGGAAGCTTTTACACAAATACTAACTCTCTTTTCTTTCTTTCCTAGCCTGCAAAGTCTGCTTGAGATAAAAGCAACCAGAAAGGACTAAGATGTCTGAAGGCAGTTCCCTAGCATTGTCTTCTCCCTTTCACTCTTTTAGAAGCAAGCACGTATGAAGTCTCTGTTTCCCCCCCAATTATGTCATTTGTCCTCTGCTAACTCTTATCCACATGAAAAAAAAAAAATCCTTCTCTCCAACATTGTAATTGGAGGAGCTTTTAATAGATAATTTAACCTTGCGAGGATCTTCATTTTCACTGAGCATATCTCTCCAATCTATGAAACAGCCAAACCCTTTCACCTGAGCCTGCCATTCTTTAATTGTGACAGCACTGTGAGATAATGCATTTCAAACAGTTGATCAACCTGGGGGGAGTATGAATGCCCAAATATTTAACAATAATGCCTTTTAAAATGAAAACTCAGGCTTGCAAAGACAGTTGTTGCATGATCAACAGCACACCAATACTATCACACACAGACTATTTATTTTACACACCAAAAAGATCGGCTTTTTCAGCAAGCAATCAGTAATTAGTAGCTGTATCATTTTTGATGTCTCAGCCACTGCACATCAGTTTACCAGCTACTACCCTCTCCCAGGAGGAGAGACTATCAAATTAAAGAGAAATGGAAAGATTACTGCTATTTGTCCTCTTTGAAAAATTCCACCAGGTCAGTATCAATGCTGACTTCGTGATTATGAAGCTCCAGAGTAAACTAGATTTATCCTGTAGTCAGCCTTGCAGGAGCTCAAAGGGTGAAGGTGTAGCTGTAACATCCTTTAGGTCAGAGAAACTCAGATAACACTGAGGAAAGGCTCCTTTTTTCTGAAGTGTAGTGAGATCTGACAGACAAGTGCATCCAAAATGAATTCAAGCCATTAAAGAGAAAAAAAGTTTCCCTGGAGAATACACACCTTTTCTTCCTCATTGCCAAGGTACTCATCCTCGGCACTGTCAGACATAGGGACCCCTAAGAATGTCCTGCTACCATGATAAAGATACCACAAAAAGATACCACAGAGTCCTCACATGCATCTGGGATCCACTCAGTTCAATCTATTGCTGGGCAGCACAAAATTCTCCTTGTCTTCCTTCCCAAGGACAGAAATCATCTGGGCTGATACCTGTACAACTCCCAGGCCAAGAAGGCTTTCTGGCAGTCTAACTTCACTGGTGGCATGGCAAGGAACCAAGATCCTGAATTCCCCACCAGAAAGGTGATTCTGTCTCTCAAGATGTGAAGAGCTTTCCATACCCTCCCTGCTCTCCCACTCTGTCTTCACTTAGATTGAAGCAGGAGGAAGTCTTGCCATTTGATACCTAAATTCAGCTGAGCCCAACAAAATGCAGCAAAGAAGTTGACCTCCTCCTTTGCCACAACAGTGAGAAGCCATCCTGGCTTCAGCAAGCTGGTTCAGTCAGCCAGGACTGCATGTACCTGGGCATGCAACTGCTCAGCCCTGTGCAGCAAGGCTTGAAGGCACCACCAAACACTTTACCAGCAGCCTGAGGAGGCAGAGTCTAGGAGGGAGAAAGCACAGCCACTTCCCCAGAGCTTCTCATCCAAACACACATCTTCAGCTCCCACATTAACCGGACCAGAACACTTAAGCCACACTCACTGAGCTGGAAGAAGGCAATGAGGAATTTCATGAGGTTTCTCTGGCCAAAACAATCCATGTCACCTAATGCAAGGAAACAACTGGATGCCTTCCTCAGTGTCTCCTTTCACTGTCACTTTTTAGCCATTACAGAAGATACAGGAACATAAAGAGCCAGGACAGACTGTGTTTTATGGGTATATTGTCATGAACATGGTCTGGTTGAAGTCTAATTAAATTTAAATGCTTCTAATTCAGGAGTGACTTTGGTCTAAGGAGAACTGAGGAGTTCAGTTTGCCAGTCACAGGTGCAACGTGCTCACACTGCCCCTCACTGCAAGGAGGACACGGTATCAGATTCAGCTTTTCTGTAGCTGTCAGAACCAACTCCAGTAACAAAAGCTAGAGCAATTCAACCTGGTTCAACACTCTGGAACTGATGGAAATGCAGACTGTCATCTGAGAAGTGCTGGTTACACACAAGTCAACTTAAGAAGGTATTTTCAGCATGTTTGTTCAGCTTTGTCATTTCCAAAAATAGTTGCAGCCCAGTCCATTGGTGCCCTTCTCAGGGACACTGGAACATCAGGAGACACCAAGGTCTTCAGGGGCAACACACCCCATCAAGGCCTGTATGTCTTCAAAGTAAGGTTCAAACCAGGACACTAAAAACTATCATGTTTAAGATCCTACAGTACACAGTCCCCCAGAATCATAGCAGGGTTTGTGGTTTTTTCCCCTCAAAATTATCATTAGTTTCTTTGAACTGTTTTATGCTTGGGCAAATCACCTATGATCTAGTATATTATACTATCCTATTTCCTTATAATTGTCCCTTGCAGAATTCTCGCATGTTCCACAGTGAAAATTCTGGGCCTCAGAAACACTCCTGGGATGGCATGGAAAACAGCTAAACTGGGGAAGAAGAGGCAAAGAAAAATATAACTGAACTTTTACATTAGAATACATGCTAAAAATAAACTGATTTTTATAACACCAATGTGTATTTTACACAGACTCTGTTGTCATTGTTTCTATTGCTTTTTCTAAAGAAAATATACAGCTGCTAAAATGGAGCCTAGACAGGAAAAGGGAGAAATCTGGCTGTGAACATGATTGTACAAATAGCTTGTTTCTTCACTGCTTTTCCTCATTGAAAAAAATGTGTCCATAGGCATTAGTGTTTGAAAACAAGCAATCTCCCCACAATTCCCCTCCATGACAGGAACTGCCCAAACTGATGAAGCAACATGTAAACTATAAAGCATCAATGCCACTGCAGCTTTTCAGGGAAGGAACTGCAATGAAATATCGTTGTCCTCTATCATGGTAGCCTGCGGTAGAGAAGTTTTTTTCCTATCAACACTGCAATAAATCACTCACTAGTCAGATTTCATCTGATGTTGCACCATCACACCCAAGGTGGAAATCTCCACTGAACTGAACAGGAACTTTTTTTTTCCAAGACCAAAACCAATAGTACCAATAGTATAACCAACTACCTGCTACTATGTGCTGTAGCCTTTCCCCACACCACTCCAACTTCGGTGCAAAAGTAACCAGCGTTATCAGTTTTTATATGAACACTTACAATTCTGGCTTCAAAGTCAACAGAAAAGCAATAGTAAAGCACATTTCAGCCAAAGGCATCACAAGGCCATCTGCCTTCAGTATCACCTACCAAAGAAGTTTCCTGCCATATAAAATAGCCTCATTCATTGCTTGGACAAGACTATTCTTGGGGAAAAAAAAACCACCAAATTTCATTTCACAGTGGTGTCCATAATCATAGATTCAGACACATATTATGAATCCCCAGTGAGAAGTCAGTTCTACTCTACCACTACAACATCTGCTGAATATTTGTTCTAACCCACCTACTAACTGCTTTACTAATGGAAGAAACCTATTCAGGTATATAATTCCTAGGCTTAATTATTGTTATGCTAGGATTTAAAAGCAATTGTATTCATACATAAATATATATATAGCAATACATAGCAACTTGAAAGCAAAATAGCACCTTAGGAGTACTCAACAGACTTGACAGTGTTGCAGACTGATCCAAGAGCATCAGAGCATCCTCCTCACCAGTGAGATAGAAAATATCTGAGAAATCAGGTCTCAGTGTCTGGAAAACTGCTCCAGCCACTCAGCCCCAAGGGGAAGAATGACATTACACCCTCAGCTATGCATTTAGGCACTGGGGACTCCTCCTTGCAGCTCATCTAAGGCCTGGACAGCAAACACTGTGCAAGGGTAAGGGTACGGCCACACTGCAGAGGGATGGGGCAAAGAAAGGAGCCCCCAGTCCAAACAGGAGCGTTCCTGCGGATGAAGGGCAAACACCTACAGCAAACACAACACAGTGCTCAGGGAGGCAGCACTGCACCTCTTGCTAGATTTTGGGTTTGCAGCAGGGAGAACAACTCAGGAACCTACATGGCAAAGACCACCAGAATTAACACAAAGGCCAGTGACCACTGGAACAAGTCATCAGTGGAACAGAGTCAAGATGAAAGAACAAAGGAATGACAAAGCAGCTCTGTAAAAGCATTGACAGTTCTGAATAACAGACAGTCCTTCAAACTAAGATCTTTTTGAGAGAGGCTGCAAATATTAAGGACACTAACACTGTGTTATCCTTATATCCAGCTGAAAGATCTCTGGAGCTTTTTTTTTTTTTGTTATATATCCAAACCCACAGCATTAGTTCCTTCACAACCATCTTGGCACCACTGCAGTGTCATCCTGGAAGGCAGGACAGCAGAATCACATAATAAAACACAAACAAGTAAGCAGGCTTCTCACATAGCACGTGAGTGAGGACAGCAAGGGCAGGCAGAAAGGTCCAATTTTGTAGATGCTGCTTGTATCAATCACAGCAGAATCCACCAAAAGGCATCATGGGAAGCACGAGACAGTTTATCAGCTTTCCAGGGCAGACAGGACACTACCACTGGCTTTGATCCTTTATTTCACACAGCTGCATGGTCCAGACAGCCAGTGGTAACAGAACTGGTGTTCACCAAAACCATGTATTTCATCTCCAGCTAACCAAGAAAGAATGCTCTTAGCAAGGTCCACACACTTCAACATCATTTCCAATGAATGCAACTGAAAGTTTGCACATCAAACTGTGAGGCCTGTGTCTCACTCAGTGTATGCAGTTTAGAAACACGTGCTTTTGCAAAGAAAGAGAGCACTGCTTTATTACAGTGGGTGCTCATAGCCTCTGTTCAACTGAAAGCACAACTGTCAGGCACATTAATAATTCCATTCTGATCTTCAGCTTTTTAGCAAGTGAACTTGTTACTAATAGAGTGCAAATGAGACAAGCTCGAGTTGTTACTCTTTGACAGTGTGCATCTTACAACCCTCATCTGTCTCTGCAGACACTGCCTGCACCCAAAATGCCTGATGATGTCTCTCAAATAGAGGAGCGAATAGGGGAATGCAATCTCAAACTACAGAAATGAAGAGTCATTGATCAAGATAGCAATCAAAACTGTAAAGTGTGAAGGTGTAATCAAGAACACTGTGAAACTGTAAGACTCCTCTGGTCCAAAGAAAAAAGTTAATTTACTTCCTAAGTTGGTTTTCACCTTGAAAGCTAATTGCTGAAAGAGAAAAGGTCACACTGCTTAATAACATTAAACAGAGAATACAATACGTGCAGATAGTGTTTGACATGAAGTATTAATTAGTTCTTGACAGAGAATCTGTTTATGCTGTGATGTATCACTCCTTGCATTGAACTATATATTGAGATTCACTTATGACAGGTGTCACTACTGTGTGGGAAAGTCACCTTTACCTTACAATCCTGGATCACTGTATAGCAGGTTTGCTCATATATTTTTAAACACAGCTGGCTTCTTGGCACATAAACATGAAATCCTGTGTGGTTTTAAGTCATTCACTGAAAAGAAATGGTTTTCTGTTTTGATATCACATTCAAGAAATTTACACATAACTCTTACATTGCCTTCAAGGGTGAAGGAATTATGCTCTTCATCACATCATCTACTTACTAATTATGTTTTGTTCCTACAAAACACTACTTTAGCAGTTTACTTAAGTAAACAGTCTCTTGCTTTCTCTGGGTAGCTAGATCCACCTCTTTTTGCCCTTGGTTTGCCCTCTTCCTTAATTCATAAACATAACTGAACCAAAGCAATTAGAAGCAAAAGAAAAGGTGAGAGAAAACTAAACTTGAGAAATTAAAGTAACGCATAGCTCATACCACTCAGGCACTTCAAAGGAAAGTTAAACAGGAAATGAGATTCAGACCTTCCAAAAGGTTCTTTTATTCAAAATTAAGAATTCCAGGAATTCTTAAACATTGCTAAAATTATGAGAAGTACTGAGCAAGATGACAGCAACCCAAAGAACCACCTGGTAAAAATACAGGCTCAAGTTTCACCCGGCAGAATTTAAAACAAGATGCAGAAGAACAGAAATGCTCATAGAGACACTGGCCCAACATTGCCAGATGCTGAACTCCAGAAGAGGTTGAGCAAACACCTCACTAAATGCTTCCACACACCACAGCATCTGGTTAATCCTTTCTGGAAATGCTGTTTCTGAAGCCACAAATTATTTCTTCCAACCAGATACCCTCACCAGAGACAGGAAGCCTTGCCTCTGAGAACTGAACCTTCATAAACACAGAGGGCAACCACCTCACAGTACTGTGTCCATCACTGTCCATTTGGGAAGCCTGTCCTGTAAACTGCTGAGGATGATTTCCTGCACCCTGTGATCAACTCACCAGAGCACCAACACATCCTCTTTTGGACACTTCATCACAGCACTACCTTCAGATATTTCCTCTGATATTATGTTATGGTTCACCATTGCCTTACTAGGAAGCACCAACATTGCTGCAGTCTGAATTCCACATTGGATTTGACGCAGGTCCATCGTTCTTGCTGGCAATCTGCTGGCCATGGGGTAAAAGCCAGCTAACAACACGACAACAGCTTCTTACACCAATTGGTGCAATGCAGAAACATCCAAGATAAAAACTGAAGGCACAGGGACCCAGACTCTGCTTTTTCCACTGGAAGTCCTCCCTGCAGAACATTGCCTGGATGTGCCAGGGGAAGCCTGTGCTACTCTGCCAGTACAGGACTCCTGGGTCTCAGCATTTGCCACAGCCTCCAAGATATTTTTTAACTACTTTTAACTGTAAAGTATTCTTTACTGCATTTATTGTTCAGTGATGACTTAAAGGAAGCATTTATTTTTAAATCATATTTGACATTTTTTTAGGTACACTGGAAAATAAACCAATTCCTACATATGCAAAAATTAGAAATTAATGAGATCTGGCAATTATCTTGATGGGAAGAACAAAGTGATTTAGTTGAACATACAGAGACTTACTAAAAAAAAAAAGTCTGCTCTAGTAGTTAAAAAACAAACAAAATTGCTTCTTATTGATTTTAATTTAGGTTGAAACACTAGCTGTCTCTCCAACAAAGCTAGAAATGGAAACAACTATAAATGAGTACAAGATGTGATAAGATAGACAGATTTTTAAGCAATCTAGTATAGAGATGACCTCCACTTTAGACTGTAGTTAAAATATGATATTATATGTATGGATCAATAACTAAGTTTGCATTTGTCTCAGCTCCAAAAGCTGGAGAGCTACACGTCTTTTTTTCTTTAGCTACTCTAAAATGTTGTCCAATTAAGCTCCACTGTTTTTTTTTTCTTACAGATCCTCTAGATTCTAATTTACAAATAAAATCAAGAGAAGCAATTAAATGTTAAGTACTATCAGCATGTTTCCCCAAGTGATGCACATGTGCAACAGAATAGAAGTAGTCCAATCTTGATACAGAAGACCAGGTTACAAATTGAAATACATTCGTATCACCATTACTTGCAGCTTCACGCTTGGGCAAGTAACAACATCAGGCACCACACGCTGCCCGTGCCTGCACAGAGGAGGCTCCTGGACCACAAACCTCACAGGCTGCAGCAGCTCCAGATCCACTTTACTCCTCCAGCCTCCAGAGCCAGCACAGACACAGAGCAGGGGCAAACAGGGGCTTGGTGTGCACAGGAAGAGTAAGTGCAGCACAGAACAGTGCTGGAAGGCACTTTTGGTGATGGCCATCCAGTCCATCATGTTCAAGGCTAATTAAAAGCTTGCTGGCAGACTGCCTGGTCACTCCTCTCTGCTCTCCAGACAGCACACACTGCCAGGGCCTGCCTGGCTCACACGGCACTCTGTCCTGAAGCACACCAGAAGTATCCACATCGATCAAACACGATTTATGATCCTTCCAGCGTGCCAGAACTTGAGGCAATACTACCTGATAGGTATGGATCAGATCTTCTCTGTGTTTTTTGTGAAGGCTTTTATACTTGAAAGACTGGACTCCCTCTCTCCTCTAGACATACAGATCTCTCCATTTTCTCACCACCTTCACAGACACCAGCCTCTTCCCAGACAGGACAATACTAGCTGGGGCAGAAGGGACTGGTTTTTCCTCAATTGATGCATGATACTAATTTGCCAAAACAGGTACGATCAAAGTGAAAAGCTAGCAGTACCCAAGGGAGGCCACCCTAATGGAAGAAGGACCACAGTAACAGAGCAGATCTTGCAACCAGCTCAATATCCAGCAGCAGAAAAGAAACACTGTCTACCAAAGCCAGCAGCATGAGTAACAGTAAGGGGATGAGGGTATGGATGGTGGAAAAAACAAACAAACAAAAAAAAAACTCCACCACGTTCCAAGAAATCTACTGCCTCTGAGGGGTCTCATCCGAAGTGTAATCCCCACTCCAAGGTTGTGATGAACCTCATCTGTCAGTCACACCAGTGTTACCACAAGGGCAACAGCTGAGGCCAGGTCACAGGCAGGTTCTGGAGCTGTGTGAAGCTTTCAGTGTATAATGCTTAACTGAAGTCAAACCCTAAAATCACGCACTTTAGATAACTCCACAACAGTTACTGACTGCTACTGCCTTAAAAAATGTTGGGCTAAAAAAGGAAACAAAGAAAACCATGAGAAATGATGCATCTGAGACACCAACACTGCAGATGACTTAAGCCTTTTTTTCTATTCCTAAAATTGCCATTATAGCAGCATTCAAGTCACATTAAAAAAAAAAAAAAAGGAAAGAAGATACATTCAAAGAGTTTATTTTAGGCCACATCCACTGAATAGCAGAGTATTTTGTTCAGCACTGACTCCAATAATGATCTAGAAGTCATACTAGGCAAACAATCAACATGAGCTTCCTTGCTGTGGCAGAAAAATAGGCCACTGAAAATCCTTGGACAAACAGAAAGGGCAATAGCATTGCACATACATAATGTGAATAAGACCAGTGTTCAGTTCTGATGTGCACCTTTCTGGGAAGGGGGAAAAAAAAAAAAAAAGAAAAAATGCAAAAAAAACCCCAGATTGCTACAAAAATTATTCAAGGACTGGAGAAAATCTGGTGGCAAAGGGCTTGTGGGGTTCAGGTCACTGAGTTAATCAGGACATTGTGACATGGTTTTACTGTAATGGACTCTCATGGTAATAAAATACCAGAGGGCTCTTAAAACTGGTAGAGAAAAGTGAAACAGATAAGAGACAGTTGTTAAAGTGGTTGCATATTTGGAATTTGATCTTCAGTAATTTGAACAACCACTTTTCTCGGTGGCCTATTTATTTTGGTAACTACTTTATCCAAGGAAAGAAGTTGGGTATCACTTAAATTGACAGCTGTTGACAGGAAAACTCACAAACACCTTTGCAACAGCCACAAGTTTGCTCAAAAAACTAGGTACAATGCAACAGAACAATTCCAAGGACTGATTATTATGGTAAACACCTCCAGAAAGCCAGAATTTTAATGGATGGACATCACTTCACCACAGGCAGAATCATACTAAGAAATGGTTTTGCATTTCGCCATCCAGTAAAAGAAAAACTCTCCAAGAAGCATAAAGACAGTAGTAAAACTGTGCATCTTTGACACAAAGCCACCCTTATGGAACTGCTGAAAAGAACACACACAGTTGTATTTCAGAATAATGTCATGATGAGGTTTATGGTGCAAATCCTCACCTGCTGAGAGCTGCCACAGCAACAGCAGCCTCAGTCATGCCACAACAACGTGCCATTACACCAAGAGAAGACATCATAGAATTTGCCCAGTTTGCACCCCCAGTTCACAAATATAACAATGAATTAATTCACAGTAAACAGAAGGGAAGTGCTTTGCAATGCATAAACAATGTAGTAAGAAACAATTTAAAAAGTCACAGCTTTGGAAACTGCTGTCGCTGAGCACAAACTTTTAACACTTACTTAAATAGCTAAAACTGCACAAAGGTGTCACTTTGGAACACAAACAGTTATACAGAAGCCATATAATCTGATGCAAAACCCTTGGGCAAAGAAGGAAAAATAAACAACTCATTTTAGAACCTGAACACTCCATTAGCAATTCTCACCAATTAAAACATGATGCAACTGCTGTCAACAGGCAAATTTCAGTTGTATTTTAAGGATGGATTTAAATACAAAATACACAAGCTACTGCACTTTAAGAATAATAATTCAACTAGCTCCAAGTAGCATGGAGGCCAACAAGAAGAGACACTCAACTGGCTCTCTCTGTCTGAATGGCATCTGAATGGATGAGAAGTTTAAGAGACAGTCATGCTGCACAACCCCTCATTTCTACTTTGACTGCGGTAAATCTATACTATAATCTCCAGAAGTCTAAAAGCACCTTAGGAATCTAAATGTCAATGAAAGTCTATTCAAAATTTAATCCCTAAATTCACTTGTGATAGCAATGTAGATCTGTACCTAATTGTTTGAAAGCTACTAGATATCTTTATTGTCTTAGCTTGGCATTTCCAGGGGGTGGGAGGGTAGGGAAGGATGGACAGACAGAAGTTTCATGCTGAGGTTTATATAAACATGCAACCGCCATAAAAATCCCTAAACTTCCCCTAAAAAACTCTTAGATAACAATTACTTATTTTGAGATGGGTATCACTACTTCCTCCTGAGATATAAAACAAATTCTTCTAAAATCCAGAAGAAGAAAAAAAAAAAACAACCCAGGAAAAAAGATTTGACAGGAGACCATTTCTAAGCACACCAAACTGACACGAAGGCAGGGACTGGTCCTCAGTGGTGCCGGGGCTACTTCACAGACATTCTTGTATTAAAGAAATGTAACAAGGTCCAAAGAAAGTAACTGTTGAGGACCATCAGCAAGGGTCAGGACAGAACTGTTTCTACTCACCTCTACAGTAAAAAAAATGATTTTCCGGTGCATTGGCACAACTGAACCTACCACCATTTCCTACTTATTCTGTGTTCACCTCTTCTTACAGTGAAGTTCCTTTTCCACTCTGGGACAACTAACACTGGCAATCAACCAGTCTGACAAACTCCAGGGACCTCCAGGTCTAAGAATTCAGATTGTTAAAAAGCAGTAATCCAAACTGTAGATACTTTTACAGGAGCAAGAAAAGGGCAAGGCACTGCTGTGGTTAAAGCAAATATTATAGCATTTCTTATGTCTCTTAGAAGCCTCCTACAAGGATAGAAAATGGAAAGAGTGAGGTGTGGGAAAACTGAACAACTCTCCACTTTGCCTGCGAGGAGTTATCAGACAGCTTTCCTTTCCTGTCAGCAGAATAAACTGACTCCAAACAGAAGAACTTGAACAGCACTCTGTCAGGGAGACAGGCACACTTTATTTCGGGGAAAAAAAAAAAAAAAAAAAAAAAGAGAACAAAACGGCTGCCACAAGACCAAATAACATCCCACATTTTGCTCCTAAATACCAATGCAGCTCTTCAGGGCTCAAGGTCTCATTCATTACATTGCTGCGAGCAGAGAAAAGGATTTTTCAAAGCAGCTTTCCTGAGCTAAGCATCCAAATCT